GTGGCCCAGAATAAGGGTGAAATCTGGGGTCCAGGGATCCAGAGATCTGCTGTCGCACAGAGCTCTTCTGCATGGACAAGGAATGGATTTTATTAGCTTTGGAGTTAGAAACGTCTAGGGGAAGTCAAACTCTGGTCCAAAGTCTCTAACGCCTCAGCAGACTCAGTTTCCTCTGTAGATGCTGCTGGCGCCTTGATTGGACCTCTGTTGCTGTCTCTACCCAAGGAGGGCTGTGTGTTAAGACTCCTGGGACCTTGCCTGAGAATACTTTTTGGCCTCAGAAGTACCTTCTCCTTGCTGTCAAGAGATGTCACGCTTAGACCTAATGGCTGCTGGTGGGGTTAGTGCCCACAGCCTAGGGAGAGATGGATGGGCACAGCCGGGGGCTCAGGGACCACTCCTAGCAGGAGGCGAGTGGAGGCCAGAGCTCAGATCACAGCTGTTCCTGACACATTTGTGCATGCACATGACACCAGGCAAACAATCACATTGGGGCTCACTCACGTCCTATGCACGAGACCAGTGCCGAGACCGCCCTGGTCCGGCAGGCAAAGAGGGGAGCAATCCAGGCGTCGTCTTCTAATGTCTTCTGCATTAACGGAAGGATGAGGAACAGACACAGCCAGCTCCTGAGTGGACACCAGCCCAAACAAGGGGCTGGCTTTGACCCTACACCAGAACTTCCATACCAGCTGGCACACTAAGTCAGGGAGGGGGTTTCAGCAAAAGGCCCATGGCTCTGTGTCTGTTACTGGGGGACACTGGACTCCTGGTATCCCTGTGGGCCCCTCTCCTCTTTCTGGAGACCCAGCAAGGCAGGACAAGGCTGCCTTGATGGAGCTGCTGCTCAGAGCCACTTGTCCATCTCTGCCCCTGACGTTTGGTTACTGTAGACTTGCCAGTAATTAAACGCACCAATTAACGTCTAAGGCCAAGCTGAGGTTCCCAGGATATGATGCCAACAGCCAAGGCTGGCTCGCAGAGAGGCCCAGGCCAGGGCTGTAGATACAGAAGACATGCTGGCCATTGGGCTCCTAAGGCCCACGTGGCCTGCCTCCAACGTCTTTCTCTTAAAGACTATAAAAACTAGACATGGCCTCCCTGATTGTCCAAGAAAAGGACCAGGCAGAGGATGGGCAGGGCAAAGCAGGGAGTGATAGCAGGGCACCCTCCTCCGTGGTGGCATTTAGCTCTCAGCAGCCCTCTTCTTCCCACTGAGCCTCTGCAGCAGTCAGCACACATGGGCTTCCTGAGCCAGCCATCCCTAGAAGACACAGGTGGGTCTCTACTCGGAGCTCCCCAGGCCAAGAAGGGCCAGACTTCAGGTCTCACTGGCACAGGGGGAACCCTCCAGCACACACCTCCTTCTTTGTAGGTGCCCTGGAACCTCTGCCAAGGGGTGTGGGTACATTAGCTGCCCCAGGGTTGACTGTCCGGGGGCAGGTCCAAATTTGGCCAATCAGATCATCCCCTTGGAACTACAAAGCCTACTAGATGAAGGTGCAGTCATGTGGACTGGGGCAGGTGGGGGCAGGAAGGAAGAGCTGAGAGAAGAGGCGGGCCAGGAGGTGGATTGAGACAGGATTTAAAGAGCTGCCTCTCAAGTTTTAAGTCACTGTGGCATTGCTCTGTTCTCGAACACCCTGTGCTTTCTGCTGCCTCAGGGCCTTTGCACGTGTATTCATCCCCAACCCCGGGAGTGCTCTTTCCTCTCTCTCTGAGAAGTTGGAAGCTTCAGGTCTCAGCTTAATTGTCACTTCCTCAAAGCAGCCTTCCTGGTCTCCTGCTTCTGTGGCATCTCAGCCCCTTGGTGTGTTTGCTTTTGGACCCCTCTTCAGTTCCAGCATCTTCTGGGCAAGGACTTTACAGTGTGGTTCTGCACTGGGCTGCTCAGAAAAGCCCCTGGCACAAAGCAGGACTTTGTCAATACTGGTGAACACAGAAACCAACTGTAGCCAGCCCCTTCTCTGAAGGCCACATCCTGGTGCCCATTCGGGGCACGCCTAGTAACTGAAGAGATGAACCAAGGTCAGCATTAATGGAGCATGAGGCTGGGCAGCAAAAGGCAAATTTGGAGGCCTTAAAGACAGCCTGGGCACCACTCCATATGTCAGCAGTCTATCTTGGCCTGTGGGGGCTGCACCCTGAGCGTATCCCTCCAGTAAGTACATACACATGCTCTCAATGGCCTGGGTCAAGCCCTGATGGGGATCCTACCCTTCACACCATCCCTTTGGAATGTGGTCTGCACATATATGAGAGGCTGCCCACCAGCACTCTCCATCAGTCCTGAGGTGGTCACTGCAGCCTGGTGGGGCTTGGACCACACACACCACACCACTGTGTGACCTGGGTCTAGCACTGGACTCCCCCAGCTCCGCCTCTTTCCCACCAAGGGTCCCAGTGATCACCTGTGTCCTAGGGACTTGAGGAATGGCTGTGTGGTACCTCTCATGGGTCAGTGGGGAGCAGGAAAAGCCTGCTTGCTTGGTGCACCCAATTTCAGCCTGTGCCTTAACTTTCCTATGTGAAGAAGGCTCTTACTGAAAACTCAGACCTGGTGCCTAAAGACATGCTCAGTGCAGAAATGGGGTGAGATCTGCTTTCAGGAGTAGGGCGATTTGTGTCAGATCTGTCATTGATGCCCCCTTCCCTTAAACCCTGCTTTCAATTGCATAGGTCCCATGGTCAATAAGTTCGCTGGGTGTTCCCAGGCAGCCCCACTTGGACCTTCTCTCAGTGTCCTCCAAATGCAGAGTGGGACCCCAAGTGGAGGGCAGGACCTCCAAAGTGGGGAAGGCTGTTCTTTGGCAGATGACCCAGCAAAAAGAGGCAGGTGGCAGGCGGGGAGGCAAGAAGGCAGACCACTCTGGAGGCCAGTTTTCCCTCTCAGATAGAGGCCTCCAAGAGTGCCTTTCACCTTAAAGAGCAAGTGTCCCCCACTCCCCAACACTATGGCCTTTTCCAGGAAGGTGGAAAGTAGGGTTCACTGACCTCTGGCAAGCGGTTAGCCTATGAACAAAGACAAGAACCCTTCTGGTCACCTCGCTGGTGGCAGGAGACCTGGGCCGGTGCGTTCCTGAAGCAAGGCTGCGGGGTCCCATGGCAGACCCCGTGAGGTAGAGGCCTCATCCCTTGCCGAGCGGTCCGCACAGAACCGGCTCCAAGTTCTAAGTGACAGAGTCTCCATTTCTATGGAATTCACAGCCGCGGGCTGGGGAGGACCATCGCTGGGGTCACGTTCTCCTAGGGCCAGAGTTGGGGCAGGAGGCACGTGCGCGGTCAGAGGCTGGGTGTCCGTCCCTGGGTTGGTAAAGGTGAAGGGGAGTCTTCGGCACCATCCGCCGACTTTTGATTTGGAGTTTTCTAGTAACAGACCATCTCCTTCTGCTGCCAGAGACGGCGTCACTCCTTGCGCTCTGGCGGCCACTCGTCCGTGACTCGGCGGGAGGTGAGTGGTTGGGGAGCCCGGCACCCTTGCTTGGGGTCATCCAGGGCGCGCGGACCACAGGCTAGGGGACGCGCGAGCTCCGAGTCGACCGACTGAGGCGGGGCATGGTGAGGCTTTGGGCGGCCGGTTCGTCGCCTCTCAGCGGGTTTGTCAAAAGAATGCGAGCCGCCCTCTGGGACCGCCAGGCCCAAGGCCAACTCGCGGGGGCGGCCTCGGGCGGGGTCTCGGAGCTGCGGCCCAGTGCTGGCCTCCGGGGAAATGTCCCTTCCTCGACCCGGTCTCCCCAACCAGGGCGGCACACCCCGCCCCCTTCCCTCCTCTGCGAACGCGCCCACCTCCTCCACTACAGGCGCGGGGGGCAGCCTCCGCCTCTGCCAGACCACCCAGGACCGCCCAGCCGGACGGCTTCCACGCCCCCAGCCCCCGGGTCACGCCCGGAAGGCCCTGGGCCCCCGCGTCCGGCCACGCCATCCGTCTGGTGGCCCGAGGGACTCAACAGCTAGGGTCAGTCCAGGCCCAGCCCAGCGCTCCCGCCCCTCTCAGCTACCCAGGCTCCAGAGACCGCGCCCCCGCCGTGCTTTCCACACACCTACCGGGACCAGGCGGGGCACCTAGGCTCACCCGGCTCAGAGCCGTGGCTCCTGGGCGCGCGTTACCTGGACATGAGCAGCACACAAACTTTGGGCGCGCTGGAGATTCCCGTACGTCGCGCCAGCCCTGCGGGCGGGGAGCCCCGGCTTTGAGGCTAGGCGGCCGAGCCGACCCTCCCCTGGGCCGCAGGCTGGCAGCAGCTGACCCCGGCGCCTCTGGGCTGCGGGCGAGACGTCGGGGCTCAAGACGGGATGATTGGGGGGAAGCTCATGAGGACCCGCCTCCTCGCAGAGCCGGCTGCGCGAGGCTGGGCGACGGGACCGGGGGCGGGTCGTACTGGAGCCAAGACGCGTCCGCAGAGGGAGCTGGGGGGAGAGCCCCTGAGGGATGCAGGGCACCCCCGGAGAACGCCATCATTCCCCGTCTCTGACCCCATTTTCCTTCCTGCCCCTCCTGGAATGGGGGCCCGCTGCGCTGGGAGGCAATTCGGCTGGCGGGTGCACGGCCAGAGCTCCGGTTCTCAGCTGCCGGGCGCGCCGGGCCCCACGTGGTGCGGCGCCGGGCGGGGCGCGCGGGGGCGCAGCGGGGAAAGCGGCGCCTTCTTTAAGGGGGGGGGGGG